AAACAAAAAAAAAAAAAAAACTTATCACTCCAACAATCACGTTCATCCAGCAACCATCTCTCCCTACACTAGCAAAACAAACACACACACACAGCCATACCACATCGTGCACACACACGAAACCCACACACTCACATACGTCACACAATACATATGTATATATATATACACATACACAGGTTTGTGTATATATACAAATCTGTATATACACAGCTCTGTTGTGCAAAGAGAGAGAGAGGAGATGAGTTGGAGAAGATGAACAACAGAGGTCACATTTTTAGAGAAGATGAACAGCTGACCCAATTTTTAGAGAAGATGAACAGTCGGTGGAGAAGATGAACAACTGGTTATATTTTTTGTCTCCAACGAATATCGAAGGGAAGATCTCATTAATTTAGAGTTGTGTGTTTCCCGTGTTTTTATTTTACTTTAGAAAATAATGAAAACACCATTTTATTGTTTTGTAAAATCATATCTCATTTTTTTAAAATTTTCAAAAAAATTGAGAATAAAAAACTAAATAAATAAGTTTTTCTTGCTTTTAGAGTTTTGAAAACAAAAAACTGTTTTTGAAAATTAAACCAAACAGGTCGAATGTTTTCCTTCACCAAGGATTGATTTCTTAGTTGATAGAATTTTAAGAAGATTGAGGGAGAACAATTAGCCCCGGTTGTTTTGGGAAATTCTACTTGGGAACTATTTTTCTCTCACTATTTATTTTGTGTTAGATTAGATGTTGTATACTTCAACTAAGTTGAAGCATCCTAAAAAGGGAACAATAATTATAACGCACACTGCGCATGCGGCAATTGACCCTTACTGTTTGTCTGTCACTTCAGTAGAATGCATGTAATTGACCCTTACTGTTTGTTTGAATTTTCTCTTACGAAGAAAATTTTGAACAAATCAAGTGTTAGACATAAATATTTGAAGTACACTTTCTCTATTAAAATTTTTGAAATAAATGGTTGTTCAATATACTATTAAAATATGAAGTCGTGTGTTTGAATTTCATCATTATTCTAATTATTAAAAGATTTTCACTTATTAGACTTAAAATTTAGTCTGCACGTGAGGGAGTGTGTTAAAGTACAAACACTTGAGAATAGATGAGTGTTCTTTTTCTGATGGTTAAAAAAAGGGATGAGAGTAAAAGAGAGCACTTAGAGGCAACTCGATAAATTTTCACTGGTGAGATTATGAGATTCTTAACCGCATCCGTTACTCCCGTCAGAAATGAACCTAATTGAGTTAACATATAGATCAACCACAGAGTTTCAATGTTAATTTTAAGACTTGAACTTCTAATCTCAGGGTGAAAAATTTAGTTGGTACCCTACTGAATCACCCACTTGGTGGTGAATGGATGAGTGTTCAACATTAAGCAATCAAACCTATGATCCACAGTGACAAATCTTTATTCATACGTTTTTTTTTGGGTTTTTTGGTGCAATGAAAAAGTTCAAACCAGGCAACGAGTGATTTCTCACAATCTAAACCCCTCATATCTACAAACATCTTTCTTATAATCATATCCACAAGCAGTAGGCTTTCTCTCCTTACAAACCTATCTAGCCATTACCCATTAAAAAGGGCTTGATGGGTTGGATTGGCTGATTTGAACACAAAAAACCAGCTTAACAAGAACTATGCGCGAATTTCTAACCCAAACGTTTTTCAATTCATGATAAATGATTTACCATTGACTCCAGTAGTCTTTAATCCCAGAGCTTTCAATACACCAAATCTTAAAACTAAATGGTCATAATAATCAAGGCGATGGAAATTAATTTGCATATAAACTCGAGAGGTTAATGTAGTGATGGTTCAATCACTTAATAAATCTCTCATGAAGGGTAAGTCAGGAGTATCCCACGAAACATAAACATTTAGAGCCACTATTCGTAGATTTACTTCCTTGTGTGGAGAAGCAGCTTTGCACAAAATCTAACATTAATTTAATCTGTAAACAAGATAGTACTACGGTGATACAAATGAGATATCAAAAAAATAAAAATAAAAATTAATTTGCATATACATGGAGGTAAAAATTTTCAATAATCATTCACTCTTTTCTCATACACTTTTTTTTCCTCTGCTATAAAAAGCCTCTCTAGGGGGGGGGGGGGGGG